GGCTGAGTCAAGGGCTGAGTCAAAGGAAGCTGGATCAATAGGGTAGCTGGGTCAAGGGCAGAGTCAAGGGCAGAGTCAAGGGCAGAGTCAAGGGCTGAGTCAAGGGCTGAGTCAAGGGCTGAGTCAAGGGCTGCTGATGATACCGGATTTCCAATGGCATACACCTTCTGCCCAACTAGAAGGTCAGATGAGCTGCCAACTGGAAGAGGACGGAGCAAATTGGGCGGAGCATCAATGTGCAGAACTGCGACATCCTTGTCTTCATCGTAGCCGACAACCTTGGCTTCATACACTGATTGATCTCCCAATGTTACCCTGCAAGCGGCAAGCAGCAGTCAGTATATCCAATCCTACATCTGTCTTTCTCTCATCCTCTTTTTTTCAGTTCTATTTTCCTTTCCCTCCTCTCCCAAACATTCTCATCAGCACAGCCAAGTTAGATCTGTTAACAAAATTAGAAAAAGAAATATAAAAAAGGAGGGAGAGTGAGGAGGCGGAGGGAGAGATGGACAACGGGCAGGGAGAGGACCGGAGAGAAAGAGAAAACGGGGAAGGAATGTGGAAAGAAGGCAACGACCCATTGAGGAGACCACCCACTCATGAAGGGTAGGACACAAGATCTGTGGTTTAAAAAAAAAAAAAAAAAAAAAAAGGGGCAACGGCATCGCCATATCATCATTGAGCTGACCGGCCCAGGCAATTCAGAATGATTTGATTCTGTTGTCACCTGATTGTCTGGATTCGAACTTGGGTCTGTGTATTTCAACAGTTCATGAGTGTATACCAACTGAGCAAGGCGTGGTGGTCCGTGGTTGGTTTTCTAATTTTTCTTTCTCAAACGACATAGGATGCTCATAAGAGTACATAATCGTTGCTTCCTTACCCTGCACATGAGAGGATATGTTGAAGTTGATCGATCCTAAGTTCATAAAGCGATAATCGTAAAGGAGACCGTAAAGGGAAAAAAGGGCAGCGAGACAGACAGACAGACAGACAGATACACAGAGGAGAGGATATCCTGAGATAAGTTCAGAGAAACAAGAAGATCAAATTCAAGG